CAAATCACATATTCAGCTACTGCTAACTTTGCAGATTTTAGAATTATTATTCGAGTGTATTTTACTCTAGCATATTTGTATATTTCAAGATGGATACTCTTAATAGAGGATTCAATCCTAGTGCATAACACATTATTCATTTATTTCTTCCGTCATTCATGTTTAACGGTATTAAATGTGAAAATGCAAAGGGGTTCAAAAATTAATTATTTACGTAGTTCCAATTTACGCGCCTCAGTTACGCTGTCAATCATAAAATGGCGACTTCCGGCTTATTGGCTTCACTCTACTTTTACCCACTCTACTTAAATCCCCCCTCTCTCTCTCTACCTCTCCCCCTCTCCACAAGCTTCAGCTTATTTAATGTGACGCTCAGTCTATATTTACTATGTCTATGACACTACCACAGCCCAGTGAGAAATGATTCGTCGATCGATGTCAAAACGATGTCGAATCGACATCGATACCGTCAAATTGACGTCGATTCGACATCGTTTCGACATCGATCGACGAATCATTTCTCACTGGGAGGCTTCTATAGAAGTTGTGTCAACTCATAGACATATAAAAGATAGACTGCTTATGAGGTAGTGGGTGATGTCCTCCTGAGGGAAAAGGACAACACCAATTTATTTGGGTATCTATCTTCTTCTAGTGTACGTGATCACGTGGGCGTGAACACGTGATCGCCTTCAGATCACGTCCACTAGAGGAAGACAGATACCCAAATAAATTCATGTTGTCCTTTTCCCTCAGGAGGATGCCCCCACCTAGGGTTCCACTGCCTCATAAGCAGTCTATCTTTTATATGTCTATGTGTCAACTACAGCCTGAAATTCATCGATGTATAGGTAGGAATAAAGATTATGAAAATGTGAATTCTAGTAAAATTGAGGTTTAGGCATTAATGAATAATAGAATCCTAAATAATAAGAGAAGCCGTCGCTGAATCTTGCCCGGGTGTATGGCAGAATACCACGTGATCGGGACCACAAAGATCAAAGGGGCCAGCAGAGAGTGAAGTTACTAGCGCCGCAAATCTGTACACCACAATGCCCTCAGCGGTTTACCCCTCGGCGACAACCGTCCGCGTTTCGCGCCATCTTGCTCGCGAACTGCACTACCGATCTCGCGGCGCAAACTGCACCGCCGATCTCGCGGCGCGAACGACAAACGATTCAAAACGATGCGCGGCGTCCGAGGGAAAATAAAAATATTGCACGTAAACGCAATACTTAAAAAATTACATGTATATATTTTTTGTGTCATAATTCATCAATATTCTGTCTAATTTTATATATTCTAGAAACGGTCTATTATTATCTTATTCTCTTCCTCGGTATCTTTATCGCGCTCGAATGTAAAATTACTGAATTTTGTACGCCAGGTAAAAATAGCTAGGAGGTTCAGGTGATATTTCGCGGTGATTGGCAAATGGAAATTCTGCGCGAATCTTCGAATTCGAATGAGGACGAATAAAAAAGCGGCCAATCGCGTGTGGTACGCAACTTTATTCAAATGACGATAATAGGATTCGCAAGTATGGAAATTTACGACCGAATCTCGGTGTAGAACGCGGCTGAACTCTCGTAATAAGAAATTGGAGAAGTGAATAATGCACGATGAGACTTGGAAAGTTTACGTGAATTTTAAAGCAAGAACTCGTTAGAAAGTCGAAACCATGTTAAACGGCTTCGTGATAGTCCTGTCTGAATATCGTCGAGCACGTGTAAAATTACATTTTTTTAAGGCACACAAATATGCTAATGTAAAAGAATATTGCACAGATGAGAAAAGGTCGGGATTAATTAAAAATACAAAATACATGAGTATATTGTGATAGTAATTTTATCCCGAAGAGCTTTTATACTGCATTTACTAGAATTCGAGCATACTCTGTTACATCTAATACATTATTAAAATAACAAATTAAGTTTATATCTACTGATATTAGCGCATTGTACAATTTATAGAATAATTATGGAATAATTATGTGATATATATATTTTTTATTATATAATAATTGTATTGTAAATAAGTAGAATTATACCTGCAACTCTTTGTCTTGCAGTACAAGATCCACTATATAGCATCGATTGCCGTAATCTCATTCCGTGCTCCTTTATCCATAAGACGGGAAGCTTTACAACGCTAAACTGTACTCTGTCCTACACTTAGGTAAGAACTCGCTTCTATTATTACATTTAGTTGGCTATTTACCGCTATCGTACGAGCATTCGAGCGTGTATCGTACGTGTATGTTACGTTAATCAGATCGCGGAAAAGCGTCGCGATGCCTTTGACAACCGCGTGACACCGTAACCTTATGAAAATTTCAAAGGCGAATTGATTTCCTCGAAGCATACGTAATTCAGCCACACGTTGCAGCTTCGTAAAATTATTCCCGATAAATTTAAAATCCACGGTATATATCCCGTTAGAAAATGTAGTGTTTAATTCGTTTAATTCATCTTGTCAATTTTCTTAACTTGACTCTCCACGATTTAATGACAGCTTTAATTACGAAGAGCAAACGTACGAAAAATTGTAAGCGAAGTTCGGACTACAAGTTTAGACTAAGCTATAATTTATATAACATAATTTTATTGTATGCTTTTACATACTAAGGCAATAATTAACATGTAGATGTAATTACGGACTTTAAATGTCATAACGGACGGTTAACAAAAAAATGTTTTAATTATAATTTAGACTCTCTCTTTCTCTCTCTCTCTCTCTCTAAAATTGTATATAATATACCGATCTAAAATTACTCGTAATTATGTTAATTATTATTCTCACGCTTAAAATAAAAAATTAAATTTTAATTTATATTAAATTTAAATTAAAAACACATAGAATCCTTCGTTATATTTTGTCCTGATATTAAAAACGGCGAATAAAAGAGAAAAATTTTAATTTAATCAAGGAGATAAATTTTATTACACGACACGAATAATGGTAAACTGCAACTGTTTATTCTCGGCAACTAAAACATAATAATGAAAACAGCTATATGAGCAATAATGAGTTTCAAGGTAGAGGCAGACTCACATTTATGTCAGCCACATCGAAAATCGATCGGCACGTATGGAATGAACGCGACGCGATTGTTTCAGTCGGCATCTGGCAGAAAATTTCAACATTTCGCGAAATAATTCAACTCATTGCACTCGCGTTTGCTCTCTCCTGCATTACGGGCGTATAATGCGTTTGATGTAACCGTGAAAAGAAATTTCAATTATCGACGATAGCAATTTGAGAATCAACTCGAATGTCACAGCTGCGACATAACACGGGAATTTGAAGTAAATTCTTGTACGAGGCGTTGTTGCATTCAATAATCCAAAATAATTAATTCGATCGCCCTAAACATATACAACTATGAAAAACGTAAAATTCTGCTAAATCCTCATTAAACGATTACCTCTATTACCATTGTAAAGGGTGATCTTTAGGATTGTGTTGAAAGTAAATGGTTATTATCTCGTAACAAATAGATCGATGAAAATTAATCAACCGCCTATTTTGTAGAGGAAACTTGTCAATTTTATTAACATACGTATAGAAAAAATATATAATGTTTTAATAATTGAAACACACCTTATAAAAAAAGAGATAAAAATTTGCTTGCGCGCATAAATCAAAACGTTGTCCGTCAGAATAGGCGCAGAACTGCAAACGTTTTTGAAAACTTTGAAATACATTAGCCAACATGGCTGTAGAAATGTTGCGAATGTATTTTTGGATGTTACTTTTTAGTTCTCCGGTGTTGTTTAGCGTAACATCGATTTTTCAGGTAACCCCGGAGGAATAACATAAGAGGCGCATTTTTAATTGGCTGCGTTCAGCAGAAAAAGCTGCCCTGCAACTGTGTAAAATTCGTGAATCTGATTGGCGTATTCTCTTAGTCATGAGTGAATTTAAGAACATACGCCAATCAGATTCACGAATTTTACAGCAGTTGCAAAGCAGCTTTTTCTGCTGAACGTAGCCATTATTGAAATATTATATATAGTTTTTGTACATATGGTAATAAAATTGGCAAGTTTCCTCTAGAAAATAGCGGTTGATTAATTTTCTTCGGCCTATTAGTTACGAAGTAATAACTATTCACTTTCAACACAATCCTAACGGTCACCCTGTACGTTAGATTTTTGTGAATTTGTGAATTCTTATTATAATATTTTGGCAAGGAATGCAAGTACTCGAGTCATTTTTATACAATATCGATTCCAGAGGCTCAAAAGTATATGCGCAAATTATTCCTGTGTTTTATAGCTAGATGTGGATCCGTCTATAACGTTTCGCAAAACTCAATGCATTCGCTGGATATTAAATCGACAATGTGTGCACTCGTATAGGAATTTATATTTATCGTATCGAATTAACTAACGTTTCCATCATCGTCGTATTGCCATCATTCGTTTGAGATTGGCGGATCATACGATCGCGAAGATAAGCACTGCGTATTGGCTCAAGGCAAATAAATACGCAAACATATTCGTATTCTATCGAGGATAAACAACCATTCGATATACCCGTATCCCATCAATATTTCAGCTATATCAGACAGAGAGGCAATATCTTACCTTCGAGTTGTTCAGCTACGCTCGTTCCCCGATCAAATCACTTCCGGCGTATCTTGTTCACCGCAGGAAAGTCAATTTGCAGTGTTTTAGTTTCATGATAATTCCACCGACACACAAAAATAATGTCACAATGTTTCTCCACATTGATCGACAGAGGCTTTCGGCATCTTCGATTGTTATACAGTCGATATTATTCGATCGACTACTATTTCTTTATTCATTGTACCGATTGTTTCTTCAATTATTCAAGATTATTTAATCACATTATGCTGTTTGTTAAGAAAGTCAAGTTGTTTGTCTTTTAATGCAGAGTTCGTAGGAAAACGAGACATTGTGCGGTATATACTTGATTTCATTATGAGCTTATGTTACGTTCAACGAGCTATTTGCCTTGTCTTAGCGCGAGCATGCGGCTGAGTCAATGAATTGACAGCTGGTTAGCATGTTTCATCGACGGCGCAGTATATGCTAATCTTGGCGTATTTTCTAACTACGATTGTACATAAGATTGTGAGGTCGTATTAACACTTTCGCGACCGAGTGTCACGTACGTACCATATCTACAGCAATCTCAAAATTTGTCTAGCAAATATGATACAGCGTTGTATGTAACAAGACTTTTTAAACTTAAAGTCATACCGTTGCGTTGACGACAGAAGGACCAGTAATTATTTCCTACCGTTTTGATTTTACTTACCGAAGAATCTTCTTTATTCTAATAATTTGCACTACCTTATTGTAGGTGCGAGTTAAAGGAATAATCGCAATAATAAAGCATAATCGCAAAATGATTTCTGCATCGACGCGAAAAGTAGTTTCTTATATACAAATGTTAATAAGTAACATAAAGTAACTTCTTACACAATTACCCAGACAGATTACGTAACGAAAAATAATTTTCTCCGATCTTTTTTTTTACCGATCCCTTTTTCGGAAAACGGTGGTAGCGAAAGTGTTAATTATTACGATGCTGAAGTATTATAAGAAATCATGCCCGTGCGTTTAACTGCACGCGTTATCGCTTTGAACTGAAAACTGAACATTAGCAATATTACCGTAGTTGACGTATCTGCAATTATCATAGATAGCACGCTTAGACAACGTGTCGCTTATAATCGTACCTCTAGTTTGCATAATTACAAGATACCTCTACTGCGCCATTGTTTCGACGTGTTTATTAATGTCTCTTTGATCTAAGCTACCAATCTCAATTCATTTCGCGGAAAATATTCAAAATTTCGATAAGCGAATCCCGGTAAAGGACGCTTCCGGGATGCCTTTCCAACCTGGGTGATAAACTTGAGGCGATAGCGTGTGATCTACATGAATGAGCGTGTAAGATCTCCAATGTGTTATCAAGAGATAGCTACCTCCTTGGCGTAAACACTTAAAGCATCGTTATCTCAAGACCTCGCACACCTCGTTACACCTCGTCATAACACTCGCACACCACCACCGTAGATCACACGAAACACGTGGTCGACACAGGATCGGAGGAGATGGAGTCTATAAGGTTTATCTTCTCGAATGTCCGAGTGTAACTGTGTACTTAGTTGGCCGCAATATAAACAGGACCCACGTCGTCCTGTTTCCGTTATCTGTCTCGGTTCGCAAAGCGCAAAGGATATAATTACAATCCGGTAATTTCGAAGGCGAAAGGATGACGTATTACTCGATCAAAGTGTTTAACAGCGACCATATATCCGAAGGTCGCGCAATATTGGCGGTAGTCGCAACAATTGATCATCGATTACGAGCGGCGGATGCACACGGAACGGCGATACGATGAAAGCCGTGGCGTGAGAGAAATGATTGGCGAATTGTTCGTTTCGATTAAACGGGGAGAGACGCTTCGGCTGAGCGGAACGGCGATCTCTTTCAGCCGCTCGGACAGCCGCAAATTTTTCATTGGAGAGCTGCCACGGTTGGTGAACTGTTGCGAATTTCGTCAATAAGATCCGCTCGAAGGAAACGCGGGACGCATACGGATGATCGTCGTGACAGTCTAGCGGGTCGGAGTTGTTATGAAAGTCAAAGTTGGACCGTCAATGGATGTCTCGGGCAGGAACATCCTCGGGGTCCAGCGATTGTTACGGCGTCCGACAGGGGAAGATCGAAGTTGGTCTCTCAGCCCCGAACAAGACATCTTCGGCGAACTCGGCAACTCGTAATAACATCGTCATGTCCGCGGGAGCGGTAGATTGAACTTGCCACCATCATCGATCTCGCCAGCGGAAAGCCACGTCCCGGACTCGAAATACCTCCATTTTCGCACACTCGTCACCGCGTATTGCCCTTAGCGGAAAAGTGGAGAACGTCACTTTTACTTTCGCACCCCGCGCGCGCGATAAACGCAGCCTCCGGATCCCCCGTCGCCACGTGTTACATCGCGGACGTTCCGCAGATCCACGCCCGTGGGAGACGCGTACACCTGCCGCTTTGTTTACATGGTGGTAGGAATTGGTGTGTCCGGGGTGGTTCGAGCGAGCGGCCGAACGACACGACACGGGGATGCCCGGCGTTGGTTGTGGCTCACACGGCTCGCGAGGCCGCAGTGAACTGGGGGTTGGTCGCTTCGGAGAGGCTTTCCCGCTTTCCACCAGCGACGCACCACCGCGCCACCCTGTCTCTACCTCTCTCACCCTCACCGTCGCCCTCACCCTCTCCACATCGGACAGCATAGCAACTTCCACCTTCGGCCGAATCCCTCCATCGTTACCCCGGCTCACTCTCTCTCTCTCTCTCTCTCTTTTACCCTCTCTCTCTCTCTCTCTCTCCCTCCCTCCCTCTCCCCCCCCCTCTCTCTGTCTCTCTCTTTCTCTCCTCGTCGGCGAGTCTTCGAACTCTCGCTCTTCGTTGCTCCTCCGCCATCCGCACAGAAGAGGGTGGTTCTTTAGCGGCCCGCGCGTCCGCCGCCTCCGCGAGAACGAGGATCAGGCTGAATCTAATTCACGAAAAGCGAGACGTGGGATCGGAGTCAGGGGTCAGATATTTATTGCGATTATCAACTATTTCGGTGGCGTTAATATCATCTCATTAAAAGCCCATTGGAAGTTTAATTACAATGTAATATATCGCCCAGTTTAATGCACGATATATAATTTCGTAAGAACTCTTTATTCAGCAGAGGCGCGTTAATATCGATTCGTTTGGGGAAACGTAATTTCAGAATTTCGAGCCGCGCGAACGAGACTTTGCCTAAATGAAGCTGTTTTTCGAAGCATCGGTTATGATACTTTGATCACTTTTCAAGGGTCTCGGAGGTAAGATGTTCTTCACGAATTTTATATTAAAATTCAGATCAAGTTGGACTTGTCTATTAGAATCAATTAATGTCCCGTTTTCAGGCTTCTCAATCTCCAGGAGATTCCACGCAGATTATCAATCTCCCTATATTTCTCTTGCAGGGGAACAACTGTTTCAATCGCCTGACACAAGGGTGTCTCCGTAATCGCGTAAAAATTGACACGGGACACGAAGCGGGATCCATCATCTCCCTGTTGTCTCACCTCCCACACATGTCTGTCCGTCTTGTCCTCTTGTCACACGAATGTACGAGCAGCCATATGTGGCGTGTAACATGTGTATCGAGCACATGTGGCGGTGCAGAAAAAAAAAGTTTAGCTGGGGTAAAATAAAGCGAAACGCGCGGAAGAAACTGGACTGACCGTTAGATAAAAACGTTCGTACCGAGTGTCGCAGAAATTACGCGTTTTGCCTGGATAACAAACGGCAAAGGTCAAAAATAAATTGACATAACGAGGAATAATGTAATTACAACGACGATTGTTTCATTTCGGTGTGTGCTTTGGTGCGACGTGTAAATAATTTAGTCGCGCTACACATTAAAATAACTCCTTCGGCCTGGCGAGCGCGTTAAAAATTTCACGAATCGAGCTGGTTGTGAGACAAAATTATATTCCATCTCCCGCAACGTATCGGCGAATTATTATTTATTTAGCAAACGCTTTCTTTCGATTATCAAGATTTGTATTGTCATCGCGTCTTCATAAATCTTGCGTTCGAACGCATGATAGTGACAATTAATTCGTCCCACGGGTATTAATCACACCAATCGGCTTGATCTCTCCCATCCGTCATGGTGTGCGAACAAATGAGCGACGGCGATAACGAGGTTTGTTACTTTCGCAAATTACAGAGAAACGAGAATGTTCCCATGTATCGAAAAAAGTTTCAGTGTCTCAAAACAATACATTGCGTATGTATGTACAGTATAATTATTTATTATCATTGTAGAGTATAATGATCGTTATAATTGCACCTTGTTACAAAGCGTTTAGGCACAGTTGAAAAATTTGTGTCAAATTTAGCAGATAATAAAATAGAACATATGTATTGTGTCAGAATAAAAAATAAGTGCACATTGTGTTGTTTTAACATTTTTTCAGTTATTTCAATAATTTTACATTTGAGGTCAATTAACACAAGAGCAATATGTTAAATTAACACATGAATGTGTTAAACATTTAACACAAAAATTTTGACCGGCAATTTTTTTAACAAGAAAACACAAATTTTCCAATTGTGTGTATTTTATAAACGACTCGTTTAATAAATGCAAAAGAAACGATTTCTTGCTCGTTCAATTACATATATCTTTCCAGATACTGCAATTCTTATATAGATTCGCAAATCTTTATCTATTGGTAATACGTTATCTTCTCTCTTTGGGAATATATTTTAAATTTCTATAAAATTATTTCGCCACGGAATTATAACAAAACCTACCACAATATTAATTGAAAATAAAATCATGTACTAAACAAAATTTGAATTTATCGAGAATTAAAAATAAATAAATAAATTTTAAAATATATTTTCAGGGAAAGGAAAATAATGTGTTATCGAAAGAGAACAATTAACGCATCCATAAATACTACGTTTGTAAGAAGGTACTAAAGATCTCGTAAAAAATCGTTTCTTATGTATTTATTTTACTTTTTATATTTTACCTTTTTTCCAGAAATTGAGTTAATTGTTTGTAAAATACGAATGCTTCATAACAAAGTGCAATTATAACAATAAAATATACTGTATAACAGTAATAAATAATTAAACTATATATTTTTTCATAAAAGTTCTTTATCACAGAATTATAACGAAAACAGGTTGGCAACAACACTGGTTGGAAATAAAATCCGGTTTTATATACTAAACTGTATTTGAATTCGCCAGGATTTAAAACAAAAATAAACAAATTTATCGCAATATGAACGATAATGCGAATTTATGTAGTACGAACGTTAAATCTTCAACTTTACGAATATAAATGCGCACGAAATAAAATTTTTCATGAAAAAACGAATTTTCATGCGGAAGATTAATTTTCATGACGAGAGAAAAATTTTTTTAATTACAACAAAAAAGTGAAAATTTAAATAAAATAAGTACACTCGATTATAGCAACTGCCGCGCAATAACACAAATATCTGCAATTAACAAGGTTTCATAATCATCGATTATCCATTCGCAAGAATATCCCATTCATTAAACAATCAACGCGCGATTTTGTGTCAAACAAAAGTACTCTACAAATAAACGTAACAGTAACAGAACACCATTGGGATCGTAAATTATTTGTAGATTGCGTCAATTTCGAATAATTAAACGACTCGGATGATAAATGATTCGATACCCTCGAGTGTCGTCGTAATTTCGTTAAAATTGTTGAAAATAGCATACGAAGTAAGATTTCACAGATAGATCTTGAATTTGTTTATTTATATAATTTTACTTTAATTAAGCTTGCAATTACTTAATACAAAATAATTTTTATTTCAGAAATAGAATTTTGGAAATAGACTCTCTGATATTTGTTCTATAAATTCTAAAAACTACTGTCAGTAACATGAAAACTGATAAAGTTGCCACATTTCCTTTACACAGCTATGAAAAAAATTACTTACTCTCTTGTTATCTAGGTCGTTTCGCAGATCGGATATTGATTCGTGTACAGTCTGTCGCCGCATATTCTTTGCCGTCTGTATGAATCTTAAAACACGTTGTTTATTCTCGACTTTGTTGTAACACATGCCAAATCGTTTAATAATACATTAGGATTCGTTGTGTGATCAATAAAATCAGACTGGAGTCTTGTAAGTCTTGGCTGTTCGTAAAGAGCAAATTTTCATTTTTATTATTAATAACGAACTAATTATTTTTATTCCAGTCCCTTTGTAAAAGAATTTTATATTGATTATTATGCAGCTTACAAGAATAAAATTTTTGACAGCAATATTTGATACAATAACTTTTTCGAAAATTCGTGTTTCTCTAAGCTATTCTTTCAACAACGCGAAAGAGAGAAAAAAACAATATTTATTTCAATGCCGTTATCAAAATTATTTATCAATTACTATTATACGTGTAGAGTTTAAGAATAAAAATGACAATTCCTGCATCCAAAGCAGTGCGTGACGCAGGTTCTGAGAAAAATTTCATTTTTCCAGGCTGTATCCTCGGCAAGGAAAGCGACAAGGGTTCCGACGAGGAGATGGACTACTTTGTCTTTGCAAAGGTTCTTACACATTACACAGCTACGTAACTGGATTTATTGACGATGACCCGAGTAGTAAATACTCAGATCGTCTATTTGCGACGAACATTCCATTTTCGATGAGCTTTCCTCGGACCGGAAGTTGAGTCCCATCTAAATAATTAAGCATTTCGCTACTAACTACTATCTATAGATTCAGTCTACGGAAATTAATGTTGGAATCAATATTTCCCGCTATATATATATATATATATACACACACATTATATAATGCAAATTATTATTTTCAAATGACAGTATTCTTGTAACTAATATACATGCGAGAAGTATAGTTGTAATTTTAATTTCTAATTAATTTAATCAATTTTTTAAAGAGCTTCTTGTGTGAAAGATTATTCTGAGTACCTGAAGTTTATTTTACAAAGGCAAATGTTTGAAGTTTCTCATTCAATAAAAATTAATTTCAGTGGAAAAATCAGTTCCACATTGTTTAACGCCTTTGATTTTTTTAATTAATTATTTTGGAATTTGATTAATTAAAGTGTGGAAAATGTATACTTTTAAAAATTATTAAACACACACAATACAGTTCTATAAATCTACGTGTACTTATATGAAGAGTCTCGCAAAATAATTTTTTGTTATATCTCTGTTTCCTGTGTATTTATGCTCTCTTTGTTTCTTTGATAATATTCTTTTTAAACGTCCACAGAAACTTTTAAAAATAGATAGAACTTTATGTCGTAACACATACATACACAAATTTATTATTCGTCGCACAATATAATAAGATGGATTGTTCTCTCAGTTGTTACCACAGATTTTCGATAGTCAATACATAATGTACTCACGAACAACAAATCCGTTCAACTGATATTACTGTTTACTTGCAAGCTGAGACTACACGTAGTCGGGCTGATGCCGTTATAGACGAATGACTCTGCCATCTCATGTTGCAGGAAGAGTATTATTACAAGAGCTATCTCAGATTTACAACTGCGTTTACGTAAGAATAGTATGTAGAATAGATTTTTAAAAGAAATTAAGAAAGAGAGAAATAATCTTGAATTTATTCACTAATTTCGAAATATTAAATTATGAACAAGTCTGGCACTAATGAGATCATTAATAAATACAAACAATTATGATTTCATTAAAATTCTTCATATTATGACTTAATAAACTCTACTGTTTTTCTTAAGAAAAAAATATATGTGCACTTTTTAGAAAAGTTTACTTAAATATAGAAATTTAAACAATATGGAAACTAATACATTAACTATTAAGAATACTCTTAAAAGTCGCCAGCAGTAATTAACAACATCAATGATTTTTATTGACCGTATCTGGCAATTAAAATTCTTATTGCGAAAAATATTACCCCAACCAGGATTCGAACCTGGGACCTCCCTCAATCCGTGACGGGCGTCGAGCTGGTAAGACGCCCGTCACGGATTGAGGGAGGTCCCA